GTCCCCGCTCAGCCATGGAGCCAACTGGGTGACTTTGGGCCAGCCACAGACTCTCAGCCCAACCTACCTCACGGGGTTGTTGTTGTGGGGATAAGATGGAGGAGGAGAGATGATGTTAGCTGCCTTGAGCCCTCTGTAGGAAAAAGGCAGGATATAAATCCAGATAGATAGATAGATAGATAGATAGATAGATAGATAGATAGATAGATAGATAGTAATATGCTTTCTTTTTTTTGCCTTTTTGTTTTTTGGTATGCATATCCTCTTTTCTGGAATGGCATAAGTGACCATCTTAACCAAAGGCACAAGGTACAGGCTGTCAACAAGAAATAGAAAGCTAGTAACTGTACCAATAAGGGATGCAGGTGGCGCAGTGGTTTAAACTGCTGTGCTGCTGGGCTGGTTGATCAAAATGTCGCCGGTTCAAATCTACACAACGGGGTGAGTTCCCATTGTTCTGTCCAGCTCCTGCCAACCTTGCAGTTCAAAAGCATGCAAATGCAAGTAGATAAAAAGGTACCACTTCGGTGGGCAGGTAACAGTGTTCCGTGCACTTCGGTGTTTAGTCATGCCGGCCACATGACCACGGAGACTGTCTGCGGTCAAACGCTGGCTCCCTCGGCTAGGAAACGGAGATGAGCACCACCCCCTAGAGTCAGGCATGACTGGACTTTAATGTCAAGGGGAAACCTTTACCTTTACCTTTTTAACTGTACCATGAGATTTATTTCCCAGAAGGGTCTCTCCCTCATTACCCAAATATGACTCACTATCATCATGCATGCGCAGCAGTCCGGCTGGCTTACTTCATAGGGCACTTTGTCTCCAATACGGTGAGAAGTCCTTGTGCTCCTGAGCTATTAATAAGACACTCATCCCAAGAGCCCCAGCTTCAAAGCCAGCCAAGCACCAAACAACAAAGGGTCTGTTTTTGAGATGCTGGCTACAGGTTGTGGCAAGATGTGAAAGGTTATGTGGTCACTTCCCTTTTCAGAAGAGCCCTGGTGTATTCTACTCCAAATGACTGAAGACAATCTGTTGCATTGTATGAGCCCTGTACAGCAAACAATTAGCAAGGTAATGGCCTGTGAGGTTTACTGAAGCAGAACACCACCTTAAATGCTCAGGAAGGAATCTTTGGAACAACCCATAACTATCAAAGGCAGCATGCTGGCAAATGGAACTGAAGAGCTTTAAGAATGGCAATGCCAGGGTTAACAAACAAAAGAGAGAAAGCCTAGAAGCATTGAAAGAGCTGCTTCATTCATAGAGGCATCACAGGAACACAGCTGAGAACATATAAAATATCTGCAAAGTCAGGCTTAATCTAAGATGTGCCAAGGAAGGAATACCATCCCTCCTAAGCACTGGAGCTAAATGGCACTAAATGTGCAGCTCAAAATAGATAATTTGTTTTAAGAACCTCAACCTAAGGGTTTTTTTTCCAAACTCAGGTTCAAGTCTTGTTCTTCTACAAGAAGAGTTCTGTAAGATTAATTTTTAAAGAAATGATATGCAGGGGCAGATATTGCCTATAATTTTCCCTCCAGAATCTGTCGCCAGGACTAGCCCCTGAACAATCATACCTCAGCTTCAGCTAAAGCTGGATGATGACCTGTACATGTTTGTACATGCTAGCTCCAATTCTTCATGTCCATGTAATAGAATATTGACCTCCAATGATCCACTCATTGGGGAACAATTGTGCCAAGGTTCTTTGAAATGTTTGTGTTTGATTTGAATTATTTGATCATTTCTTTAGATATATGTCTTCCGCAGTACCAACAGCTCAGGATTGCTGCTGAGCTCAAGTTGGACTGAGACGAGCGTAAGACACGTTTCTAAAAGAAGAATGTGTGAGCCAAGATTGTCTTTCCATATGTGATTGTGAGAGAAGTGTAAAGGAATCAACACTCAAACATCTGATATTTCATAGAGATGTGTAGTTTTGCATGATCTGGATCATTGACACCTGCTAGACATGATGGATTTTGGCTGCAATCCTAAACTCGCTTACCTGGGAGCACATCCCATTTAACTCAGTGGTGCTTAACACTATTTATTTATTTACTTACTTACTTACTTACTTACTTAACGCTTTTATTGACCGTCCATCTACTGGCATCTTGGGACAGTTTACAAGAAACAACAGATAAAATGGCACAGCATCTAATAATTCAATAACATAGAACCACATGAAAACCGATTAAACATTAAAATAACTGGAGAGCCAGTGTGTTGTGGTGGTTAAGAGCATGGGACTGGGACTCAGATGATCTGGGTTCTAGTCCCCGCTCAGCCATGGAGCCAACTGGGTGACTTTGGGCCAGTCACAGACTCTCAGCCCAACCTACCTCACAGGGTGGCTGTTGTAGGGATAAAATGGAGGAGGAGAATGATGTAAGCTGCCTTGAGCCCTTTGTAGGAAAAAGTCAGGATATAAATCGAAAAATAAATAAATAAACCTGGTACCGAAAAGAAAAAAGCATTGGCACCAGACAAACCTCTCTGGGGAGCATTTTCCATAATCAGGGTGCCACCACAGAAAAGACCCTCCTCAGGATAACCGTCCTCCTAATCTCTTCCAGGGAGGGCTCCCAAAGAAGGGCCTCCGCCTCAGCTCTCGAGGGGCAGGAGGGCATATAGGGAACATAGGAGACTCCCTTGTACTGAGTCAGACCATGGGTCCATCTAGCCCAGTATTGTTGAAAATGACTAACAGAACTTGCCTGAGCTTCAGATAGGACATTTTCCAGCCCTACCTGAAGATGCCTGGGATTCCACCAGGGATAATCTGAATGCAAAGGATAGGATTTCACTGATACTGAGCTAGACTGCCTGTAGACCCTGCTCCAGCAAATAGAACCTTCAGCATCCCCTGTCCATTTGTTTGATTTTTTAAACAAAAATGCATGTATATCCCAGTTTTCTTCCTCTTGCAAGGAACTCAAAACACCTCACAAATTTCCCTTCCTCTTCATTTTCCTCTCACAACAACAAATCTGTCGGGCAGGTTAGGCTGGGAGTCTGTGACTATCCCCAAGTGACCCAGTGGGCGTCATGACCAAGTGGGGACTAGAACCCCAATCTCCTGAGTCCTGATATAGTATTCTTAACCACTACATCACCTTAGCTCTCACTTCATAGCTTTTATAGTTCAGTTTCTGACTTTGAGACACAATTTGCATGCATGGTTTATTCCTGTCAGGGAATGAGAAAAGATTTTCTAAAGTATTCAGTCAGTCATGTGCTTACTTGGTCCTCCACCTTCCCATTTTATCCTCACAACAACCTGGTGAAGTAGGTTGGGGTGAGACTAAGCGACTGACTGAAAGTCACCCAACATGCTTAATGGCCAAGTCAGCACTAGAACCTGAATCTCCTGAGTCCCAGTCCAAAACTCTAACCACTATGCCACTCTCGACCTTGTTTGGAAGAAAGCTCCATTGAACAAACCGGAGATCGTTGATTACTTCTTTTGCGTTTCCTCCTGCCTTCACCTTATCCACCTGGCTCCTCCAGGCAGGGCTGGGAAAAGCCTTCCTCCAAAACTCCGGAAAGCTGCTACAGGCCAGTGTAGCCTTTTCCAACCTTCCAGGTGTTTTGTGATACATGTCCCTGTTCTTATAACTGTGTGCTGGCTGGGGCTAATGGGACTTGGTCCAAACATCTGGAGGACACTAGTTTGAGGAAAGCTGCTGTATGCAATACTGAGCTTATTAACCCTCTGACTAGTTTTACACAGCACAATATGCCTCAGTGGCTTGTCACGTTGTCCCAGACCCAGCCAGAGTGGTTCTGCTGCTAGGTTCAGACAACACAAGAAGCCATCCCTAGCTTATGAATCACATAGCTTATCATACTGTATGAAACCGTCCTGACTTGGCTAGGGCAACTTCCCATGTTTCCTATGCTTGATATCTGGCTTGCAGCCATCCATTAGATTGTTTGCTTTGTTCCATTTGAGGTAAAAGAAAATTCAGGATACAATGCTATGTTTTTATTTGCATATTATCTGAAGTGTCGACTGAGAGGGAGCCAATCCAAAAGTGTTCTAAACAAAAACTCAAGATTTTATAAAGTATCAAAACTCTTCCACAGAAATATTTTTTGCCAAAATGTCTCATTACATTTAATGACTCTTCACTGAACTGTCACATTAATATCTTCTTTCTAGCTCTGATTTAATATGCCTATCATCATTGACCTTTACTCACTGATCCAAGAATTGGGTAATTTTAATTTCCAACATTTGTCTATAATGGAAACAAAAAAGGGTTACATTTTGTTCTCCTTTGCTATGGGAACCTCCATCTTTAGGTTTCCTCCAGGAAAAGTAGACTATCTCTTTACAACTGTTCACTTGTTTCCTATATAATTGCTTCCATGAATCTAAATTCTACTGACAGCAACATTCTGAAGCCCAAATTTTTCTTGCAGTAAGCCCCTGTCCAAGAGAATAAAATACTTATTATTCTCTCCTACCTTATGATCAGGAGTTTTCACCCTGCAAAGTACATTGATGAAGCCAATCTCATTCTCCAGCATGTAGTACAGTATTTTATTTCTTTCATCACTTTAATCACAGCCAATGAGAGAATGTGTGGCACAGAGAAGACCTGCGATTGGTAACTTTTCTAGCAAGTCAACAGGATGACACTGAAATCGGAGGACATGCAAATCCAGTACCTTGGGCTGGTCAGGAGTTGGTTGTTCAGCTTGGCACTCTACAAGGTACTCCCTGTACTTATGCAGCTAGACATCCTAATTGTTCCTTGGGTACGCCCTGTCCTTACCTCCAGGGACACAAGGGGGCTTCCCTGAATAGCTATGTTCTCAGCAGATGTGACTACTAACACAGCTCTGTTTTTGTGTTAATTTTTTAAAGTGTTTTGGGCGCAATTCTATGCAAGTTTGGACAGAAAAGGCCTGCAGCATAGTTATCTGGGGCATGCTGGGAGCTGTAGGTCTTTTACCTGTCTAAACAGGAATAGGCTCACCTTGATGACAATGCTGTGAAGGAACTCTACCGTTGTCAACTTCCATGTGGTCAGCTGAGGCTCTGCGAAGGCATCTTCTCCCAGGCCAATCATGTTACCGCCTGAAATAAATGTGGGACTTGTCTTGAATGCAGGTCTCCTAGAATCAAGTCTGTCTGCCTCACAAATTGAACAAGATGAATTACCCAATTTTGTCTTTTGCTCACTCATCTTTCCAGGATCCTTGGGTGCAGAGGGATGTAAGTCCAGGCACATCTCTCATTCCACATGTAACAATGTGAAGTATGGCATTAGGAGACCATGTATGCGCAGTGCTGGTGTACCGTTCACAGAACTGAGCGTATCTGAAATATTTAATTTGTATTAGTTTTTTATTTGTTCAGTGTGTGAGAGCTGGAGATCCTATGGCTGCCTAACAGGTTCTAGATGGCCATAGAAATATTGAGAGTCCCACCCCCAACCTCAGAAACTTGCTCCAAAGTCAGAGCTGGAACTCTGAACTTGCAGTGTCTTCCCTCCAACTTCGCAGCCAGAGGAGGGGGGAAACTGCCCTGGCTACAGCTTCAAAGTCCTAAGAGTGACCTTGGCGATGGGCTTCTGAGAACAGCAAGGAAAGAAGAGAAGGATGGATATGCTGGTGCCACCTCAGCTTCCTCTATTCATACTCCCAGGCAAACATTTACACAGCCAAAAGCAACCATTTATGGTTGACAGGGTTCATTCCTCCTACCATACGATGTCTATAATACTCCAAGTTCAGAGAGTTATGGACAGCTTCACTAGATTAAACTATAGGACAAGACGGGAGAGTAAGTCCAGGTGCTGGACAAGGGAAGGAAATATTTTATTGTAATTCTTGCACTTCAAAATGTTTTGGAGTCTGATACCCCTTCCCAGGAATTTGCAAGATTTTCTAATACTTTCGGTGGTCTAGCAGCCTCAAAATCAATTTTGGAACAAAAGAGCAGCATTCTTCTTTCTATTTATCTTTGTTCATGAACAACCTCTGCATCACTTAGATGCAAACATTAGACACTAGAAAACTTTGCATGCTTCTGAGAACAAAGTGTCTGCCTCCAACATGCATTAAGAGGCCAAAACTACAACTACAATAATGTTGCCCCATTCAGTACCTGATTTTGCTCTTCCAATCCGAGGTACATTTTTCCTCTTCTTTTCATGATGTTCCATTTATAGCCTGCCTTTCCATGTGGAAAGCCCAAGATGACTGACAATAAAATACAATAAAATACACAATAAATCTTTAAACCAATAAACAATATAACAATCAAATTTAAGCAGGCAGTGAAAACAAATAATGGCAGCCAGTAAAAATCCCATTAAGTTGTAAATTCAACCAGAAGTTAAAATACAGAGCACCAAAGAAGAAAATAAATCAACTGAATGAGACAAAAGGTGGCCAAAACTCTGTACACTAAAAGATGAGTCTAATTGGGCTTAATCCCAGATAAATGGATATAAAATTGCAGGCTTTAGGTGCAATTCAATGCACATTTACCTGCAAGAAGGTCCCAGAAAGGTGGGTGACTCCTCTGTCAATGGGGCTCCTCCTCTATTGCAGATTTTCTTTTCAGCTTCAAAGGAGCTATCTATGGTGCCCCATGGTGGTCAGCTTGCTTCGAGGATGGATCTCAGCAGCATGGATAGCTCTTATGAAGCTCCTATAAAGCAGAAGCTTACAGCAGTAGTGGATCTGCTGACACAGGGGTCACCCTCCTCCCTGGAAAAACCCTATTACTCATAGTAGGCTTCTGTGCTGGACCAAGATGTTTTGCTACTTGTAGCAGAGCCCAGATGGTGCTGGCATCAGTTTAGGGTAGCTATGTGCACAAAGGACAGTCTTCTACTTCCAGGCCCCTCTAGTTGAAGGGCTGTCTGGAGCAAGTTCATTTTAAAGATAAAGAATCCTAAGAAGTCATGACAGCAAGAGGGATCTTGCAAGTGCCCAACAACAGTCGACACCTGCAGAGTCAAGTGAGAAAGCTGACACTCTGCCCCTTTATGGAGAGATGTCTTCTGTGTTTATATAACTTATAGTTATTCCTTCTTAATGTGCAGGTATACATATGAATTGACAATTGCAATTTGCATGGGATTTGCATGCCCTTTTTCAGCAGAGAGGAGATGGCAGACACAAGGAAATGTGTCTGGGGATACACTAATGTCCACAGTAGCTCTATCACCTACCTCTGCTCTAACCAGTTATGTCATGTCATGTCATGTCAATCACAAAGTTGTGCCAGACCCATCGCAACACCATGGACAACATTCCTCCAGGCCTTCCTGTCCTCCACCATCCCCCTTAGTCCACCTAAGCTCAAACCGACTGCTTCAGAGACTCCATCTAGCCACCTCATCTTCTGCCGTCCCCTTCTTCTTTTGCCATCTATTGTTCCCAGCATTAGACTCTTCTCCAGGGAGTCCTTCCTTCTCATTAGGTGGCCAAAGTATTTGAGTTTCATCTTCAGGATCTGGCCTTCTAAAGAGCATTCAGGGTTGATATCCTCTAGGACTGACCGGTTTGATCGCCTTGCTGTCCAGGGGTCTCGCAGGAGTCTTCTCTAGCACCACAATTCAAAGGCCTCAATTCTTTGGCACTCAACCTTGCTTATGGTCCAGCTTTCACAGCCATACATTGCACCTGGGAAAACCATAGCCTTGACTATACGCACTTTTGTCAGCAGGGAGATGTCTCTGCTTTTTAGTATGCACTCTAACCAGTACACTACCATACCTCTCATGACATTGTAGGCATCTGTTGCCACAAAATGTGAGTGTAGTAGAGCATGCAAGCCTCTTCGCCCTTCACTCTAAAGATCACTTCAACTGCTTTGATGTCATCTTTATCTTGTTCTGGTTTTCCGCTCCCCTTTTCATGTGAATTGCTGCTTTCATTGTGTAAATACCTTTAAAGGTCATCCATTTTTAGCATCCTCACAAGAACCATTATCCAGGTTAAGGCATGTTTATGCCTTTTCTTCAATTAAACCTGGAATACTTCCACATAAGAATAGAATTAGAAATACACAGTATTGATTTCCTGTCCTCGGCTGAAACGGAAGCAAACTGGCTGTCAGTTGAAGGTATGCTGAGATGTGTGCAGAATTACATAGCACGAGCTACAACCCAGGCTCAACTCATAATTGCTGGAGAAATAAATTTTAGGACCAGACTATTTATCATCATAACTTCATATGCTGTGTGACTTGTCAGAAGTACATCACACTGATAGATTTCCTTCAGTCCCAGTTACAAACTACAGACCTTTTAGGTCAATCAAAAAAAGAACCTAAAAAAGGATATTGCAGATTTCAAGAAGGTGCAGGGAACTTCAAGGGAGTGATGCAAAACTTACAACACTGGAACTGCTTAGGGTAGAAAGAAGACAAGTAAGGGGAGATGAAGTAGAGGAGTACAACATTATGCATGGTGTGAGAAAAGTGTGTAGGGAGTTTTTTTTTTCTCCCTCATAATACTACAATCCAGAAACATCTCTTGAAGCTGACTGAGGGGAGATTCAGGTCAGATGAATGGGAATACTTATCCACACAGAACATTATTTATTATTTTATTTAGCAAACTTATATGCTGCCCCATTCGCCTAAGCCTCGGGGGGGCTTACAAATAAAATAAAACATAGTTAAACCACAGAATCTGTTACTGCCAGTGATGGATGGCCACCAATTCTGAGGGCTTTAAAGGGGGGTTAGATCCCTTCATGGAGGATAAGGCTAACCTGAGACTAAATGTCAACTCCAGTATCAGAAACTGTGTGTGTGTGTGTGTGTGTGTGTGCACCAATTGCTGGGGAACATGAGCCAGATGGTGCTATTGCACTCTTCCCCTGACTGCAGGTTTCCTTCAGAAAACTAATATGCCCATGTGTGAGCATAATGCTGGACTAGATGGTCTTATTCCATTTGCTTTCATGGTAAAGACCCTCAGCTGTTTCCTTCTTGAGTCACAGGAATTGCATTAGTTTTGCTGTTAATTTATTTAAAGGTCATTTGCTCCATCACTCACATGCATGTTTTCCTTCCTTCCAGATCCCCTGGATGGTGTGTTGTGTTAAGGCATTCTGGGGGAAGGGGGAAGATGGCAGCTGCCACAAAGTAAGTAAGTAAGTAAGTAAGTAAGTAAGTAAGTAAGTAAGTAAATAAAGGCAGCTTCCACTGGTGGCCACCAAATTTTTGTGATGAACACCACTTTTTCCTATTCCCCTATTGGCAATTAAAAAATTAAGCACCCTTTGCAAAGATTAAATATGCTCAGAACAAGGTAATATCTTTCACAAAAGCCCAACTTTAGGGCAAAGCCCAGGTTCCTACCACAACAAACTGCTACTGATGCATGGATGAAAATCTCTGTTTAATGTCTACAGAATTTAAATGTTTCTAATTACACTCTATTGTAAGTAGCAATAACAGTATGAAACCAATAAAGCATGAACTGCATTTCATTTGTTCACAATGATAAAACTACAACATTAAAGGAGGGGTGAATCTGCTTTTGTTAATAGTTTTGCATTCAAAAAATTGTGATTGAAATGAAATATAATAACAGGCACACAAACTGCAGTGTTGTTACAAAAGGGCAATTTGAACTTGCAATTGTAAGGGAATTATTTGCTTGTGTTCAGTCAAGTGCGGCTTAATTATAATGCACATTTTGAATCAAAAAGTTTCAATGTTACACATCAGCAAAGTTACCCACCAATTTAAAGCACAGCATCTTTATTTCATTCCTCATTCTTTCCTCAATGAATGCATTTTTTCTAAACACAATAGTTTATTTGAATTAATTTATTCTATGAAAGTACAGTGTCCAGAACCAAATAGCAATGAAGTGCAACATATTTTGAATAGAAGACTGAGCTGGTGGTGTGTTTCTTTAGTTTGGCTGTTTTTGTTTTCTTTTCATTTCATTTACAAGAGTTATTAAATAGACATGTGTGCAATTTAGCATCATTTTCATCTCTTTTTAGGATGGTTTACCTTTTAGCTCAAAGGCCACAATCCTTAAAACATTTCTGAACACCAAATTCTAAATTAAAGCTGTTGATAGATTGCTGA